GTGTGTGTGTGTGTGTGTGTGTGTGTGTGTGTGTGTGTGTGTGTGTGTGTGTGTGTGACCGGCCCACCCATGGTCCTGCCTACCTGATTCCACCTCCACTGCGCCCCGGTTCTACACACAGACAGAACTTCTTTAAATTAATATCAATAATTACCGTTTTCATAAATGAATCTTAATAATCTGTCCTAATATTTTTGATGAAAACATATTAAAACCCAACAAAAACTTCAGGTTTATTCCTGACTGTTTATTTGTTTATTATCCAGATGTCAGAAACCATGAAGATTCAGGCTGATTGTTGGGATTAAAACTCATTAAAGGGGAAATCRATGCGTTCGCTGACAGTGGGAATGTTGTCGTTGATCCCATTGATTTTCACTTCCAGTCCTCAGGCCTCTGGATTTAATCTGATGGGGGAATCAACACGGAACCAGCCTGTTCCTGTTCATTATCTGAGCGGCCTTAAACTATCTCTTTCAGCTCACTGCAGGGAAGTGTTGCCAGAAATAAAAAAAAGGCCTGTGATTATCCTCTTTTATTTATTTTAGGTGGGTTTCCATTCAGAGAGCTTCGTGATGAGCCGAGCTGTGTGGGATTCCCTAACCCACCATGGTTGCTCCATTCCACTCAGCTCAGAGCCACACAAGTAAAACAGGTGGGTCAGAATCATGGTGATCCAYCCAAAAACCTGCTGCTGCTGTGACTGTCAGTTTAAAATTTCAAAATAAAACACCCAAACTTCCCAGAGTCCGGATGTTCCAGGGAATGAATCTGGACCAGGCTCAGTTGTGAATGGTTGTAGCAGAGGAGGCGCGTGCGTGGGCAGCTCGTGACAGCAGCTTCTCTGAAATGCTATGACGCGTTTAGGGACTCGGTGAAAAGTGAGGAAATTAGAGCGTCACTGTTCAAACGCTCGAATCCATCCAAATTATCAGTTTTTTAGCTTTTGAAAAAGCCAAACTGACAGGAAATGGACTGTTTGAATTAGTAAATTATATATAGTATCCTTTTTTTATTCTAGATTTTTATTTTAATGAAAAGATTAGGAGATTCAGGTCAACCAGACACATAAGAAGTTTCATTTAAAACACTAAGACATCAAGAGATGACAATAGTATATTTTATTGTGTGTTAATTCACAACCTTGATGATTTAGTAAAAAGCTATTGTTTTAAGAAGTGTTAATAAAATCACCTATTGGGTAATACATCTGCTTAGAGGAAAAAAATGGCCGCTCGGTGCTCCAAACTGAACTAAAACGTTTACTAGACGCATTTAAGATCTTTAAATCACATTTAAACTGTTTTATTATCTGTTAAAATCGTCATATTAAAGAGTAAAATTTGTTATTTAGTGTTTTTTCTGTCCCAGCCCTGTCAGGCGGTGTTTCAGTCCTCGGTTGTGTCGTTTCCCAGCGCTCCTGAACGCAACACCGCCCCGTCTCTTTGGCCCCGCCTCTGCGCTCCGGCCGGGCGGCACCGAGCCGCCGCTGACTGGCTGCKTGGGGAGCCGGTGTGGGCGCAGCGGAGGACTCCTCTATAAAAGCCGGGATCCCACGGACTGACGTTCCTGTCTCTGCCCGACCACAGGTTCTTTTCGGTTCTGTTCCCCCAGCTGCAGTTCGGACCAAATAAAAAAATAATAATAATAATAAATCCAAAAAAAAGCCTCGGCATCACAGAAGGAAATCTCCCCGGTTTATGGTTCTGACCCACGAGACGACAAGGATGTCCCGGACCGACGAGGTGCACCGTATAACGGAGAATGTTTACAAGGTGAGTGACCCGCTGCTGGACCGGAACCAGAACTCTGGACTCTTTAGACGCAAAATAAACCCCTCTGTTCGCGTTTAGGAGTTTTACCTGAAAACTGAAGCTTTTCTATAAAACGTAGAAATGAAATAAAAGTGAAAAGTCAGATTTGTGAGGTCCAGAGAAGCAGCCGAACTTTGTGGTTCGGCTCCGKTTGGTCCGAACCCCCGAACATGAAGCAGAAACTTGTTGAACCTGACTTTACCTGTGAAACATGCTCACCTTGGTTCCTGTTGTTTACTGGTTCTGCTCAGGTTCGGTTTGTTTTAGTCTTTTATTTAGAAAATCTCTGGGTTTTTTTTCCTCGCTTTAATTTGAAAAGGTGAGCAGAACTCAGCTCCTGGCTCCTCTTCGGTTC